GTAGTTTTGAGGAGGAGCAAACTGCATGAACACCACAGCTTTATTTGTAAACAGTATAAATTAAAGTTTTAAAAGTTTTCATAATTTAGAGCCTTATTTATATAATATACAGACTTTTATTAAAAGTTGGCACATGCAGTTGGCACTGAATTGTTCCTCATACTAGTATGAAAATACACTTCTATTTCAAATACTTCACTTTATATTCAGTGGGAAACCTTCACAGCTTGGGTTTGTTTGTTACTCAGCCACCTAATGACTGATTTCCTATAAACCCAGCTATCTATAGCAGTAACTCAAAGAGCAGAAATTGTAGAAAAAGGATGACTTCTTACAAACTGAGTAACACATCTGAACCTCCATTCCACATATCTGAGTCAAATTATCTTTTCCCATAAGAAGAGTTTTCTCACAAAACAAGATAGGTGAAAAAAAAAAATGAATAATGATGAATATTGACGTTACCAGTCCTAAAGATACGAATAAGAAAGGACTAGGCCTGATAGTAATACAGTGGGAGAGAAATACTAAAGTAACTGGTGATGTGAAAAGCTTTTCCAGTCCATATGTGGCTTGGACAGGCTCAGAGGAATAGCATTACATGCTATATCAAGTATGGCAGGGGTAGTGGTAAAGGGCATTTGAACTGCACATGAGATATTAGTCCATTTTTTTTAATTACCTAATACAGTCAGAAACATCTTGGAAGTAGATTTCTTTGTAATATAATAAAGTGCCTTGACTATATGAATAAATATCTCCCTTTGGTTTATGAATTAGGGATCTTTCACTGAAATCTTTTTCCCTAAAAAGTTACCTAGCATTGTTGTACAGCAGCAGATTGGGAAAAAAAGAAAACCTCTTTAAAAGGATCTATATATGAACAGATTGCCAGCACCAGCACAGAACCTATTAGCTTAACTGGGGATCTGCATGGGTGCACATCTATATGATGCTCCTTGCAGGAGTGGCCTGTAGATATGTTCCTTGGAATACATTTCAACAGGCTATACAGATTTCAAACTGTAATTTATTTTTCCTAAAATAGCAGAGGACTTTGTAGTCAATACAAAAATAGTTACAAAGAGAAATACTTAAACCATGTTAGGCCGTAACTTGTATTTCTAAGAACAATTAAAAGAAGCTGCAGCTTGTCTCACTAAGCCACTAATGTATGCAAAACAGGCACAAAGTGGTCACAAGAACTTATGTGATCAAAACATTTTCAGACCGTCTCACAGAAATTATTGCCTCAGAAATTAGTACTACACCACAATTAAAAAGGGAAGGGTCAAAACCAATACAGGATAAAATAATACTTCCATGTCAACTGAATAAAAATAATTTATTCACAGATCATGAGGAAAAACATGAAAGGCCTTTCCTTTTCAAATAAATACATGTATTAAGGGAACACATTCACTAACTAAAAAAATAACTTTGTGCGATTAAATGAATAGTTCTTATGTACTAAACAAAATCATAAAAACATTCAAAATACAATAGTACAACCATGTCAGAGCATAAAGCTTATGTTTGCCATTTTACATTTTAGGTAGAAGGCAAGGTAACCTTTCAAAGGAAAAGCAACAGAAAACTTTATGTATTTATTATTTCCATATATAAATACATGCTTTAATTTCTAGATTTAAATATTTTTTTTCCAAGTAAAGTTACTTTGCTTTAACATGAATTCTGCATGGTTTTCTGTGAATATTCAGATTTGATGGAGCTGGTCATCATAGGATTTCTAAAACCAGTTCCAGCTGAGCTGTAGCTATATCCCCATTTTGTAGTGCTTTTTTTAGTATTCTAGACATTGACCATAAAAGTACTTCAAGATAAAACTTTGTTAACAACTTCCAACCCTGAATCTTATTTAAAAAACAACACTGTTTCAAATTAAAGTTGCTTTACATGACACATAAAAATTACAGAGCTTAAAAAAAGGGATTCAGTTTATATAATTTGGCCAAATAACACAAGAGAGATTTTGGTCATTAAAATAAACAAAAAAAATTACCCAAAATACCAATGACCCAACCCTGCAGAGAGAAAAAAATACATGTGAAGGCAGGTCCCTGAACTCACATCCTTCAACCAGACTCTTGACAGGCAGACAGGCATGGACATTCACAGGGTACTCCTTCTATGGTAAGAATCTCAGATATGAAAGCAATTACTGCACGTGCACGCATGCTGCCAACTCTGGGATGTGCAACCCACATTTGCAAGAGGTACCTGACAATGTCATTCTCCTGGTGAAGAGAAGGCCAGGGGGGATCTAATCGCCTATAGATACTGAAAGGGGAGTTACCAAGATTGCAGCCAAACTCTTCTTGGTAGCAGGAGATGCTTTAATGAGGGGAAATGCCTGTAAATTTCTAGCCACTTGGGAAACTGCGGTTGGACATGGAGAGAAATTTTTAGCCAGAAGGGGAGTGCAAGCATGGGAACAGGTTGCCCAGAATGGTGCTATCTCTGTCTTCAGGGATTTTCACACCTGGATAGCCAAACCCACAGCTAACCTGATTTAGGGCTGGCAACAGGCCGTCTCTGCTTGGATGCTTGGGAGATTGTTCAACACCACTTCCAGAAATCCTTCTTGCAAACAACTTTATGTGATTCTCTGTATCCAACCAAAATGTTTTGTTCATGCAGGTGTGTCAACAAGGTTTAGGTAAACATATTTCACCTCATTTGCCATAGGCCAAGACCACAGAGCTGGTCAAACCTGGTGGTTCAGGAGACACACATAGAACACTGAGCCTCAGTCTAAGCCCCACAAGTTAACAGAATTTAGTAACACTGAAGGAGCAATATTTTGGAATGTAAGTAACAGCTTATAATCATGACCTTCTCATCCTGAGAAAATGCAAATGCCTACATGTAAGCTTACACTTCAGAAACCAAGCGCTGGATCATCTCCCTCTCTTCTCCCTACTGCTGCAGGAAGAACTATATGCAAGCACAGCCCACATTAATTCTACTTCCATTTCACTCCTTTGGAGAGAGAGAAGCTTTTACACACAAAGAACACAGAAGAGGCCCTCATCAATGCACTCAGTTAAGTGTGTTTTTTTCCTCAGAGAAGCTAATTACAGCTGTAATTTTCCTGTTTAAATAATACAGGGTTAATAGTAAACAATACTTATGTGACCAGGTATATTCCTGGTACACCTGCATCTCCTTCATTCTCTGCCACCTGCTCCAGGTAAGTCTCAGGACTACAGTGAGGTCTCTTGTACTGCTGGGTGGGAAGATGCTACAACCCTGAAGTCTCCTGCATGGAATAAGGTAGTGTGCGAAGATCCCTTAGCACTTCAAAAAGGACACCAAACATGTTTTCTCTTCCAGGGCTGAAGTGCAATACAGTGAAATAAAATGTCTTATTCCTTCTGGCATTAGATTTCTCTGTCTTGTTAAGAACAAGCTTTCAGACAGTTACCTGAGGATTAGCTGCTCTGATCTAGAGGTTTGAAAGGATGCCTAAAAACACTGCTCTTCCTCTTTTAAAACTGTATTTTTTTAAAAAGATGAACCATCCTGTTTCTGAGAAGTCCACATTTTACAAAACTGGTAACACAGCACAGACTATACAGTGTTCAAATATAGTGCTGATAAAATGCAGTAACAGCTGCTAGTCATACAGGTTTCCAATCAGTCCACAAAACTTTATCCAAGGTTGATTTACTGAGCTAGTTTTCAGCCTGGAAATGTTTTATTAATATACACAGAAGAGACTGAAACAGTTTGCTGTCTCTGAAGGGGCCCTATCCCATTCCCATCAAAATCAGTGAAAACTGCTAAGAATTGGATCGTGATTGTTAACTGCAGAAATAACTACACTATACAACTGTTGGGAACTATTATAAGTATTAATAAGTCAGTTTTTAGAGATGCTGACACCTAAAGCTACCACCCACTGCTGAGTTTCTCAGAATTTTCCTAAAATCAGGCAAAGGAATTCTCATTACGGTAAGCGGTTGCTGTTCATTTCAGGGGCTTCTTTTAATGAACAGTTTATACAGATGCTTGTGCATGTGCAGCAATTCTTTCACCTGCAGGTTTAAAACTTCAAAAATGCATAAAGAATATCCTCTGTACTATTACAATCCCCCAATTAGTGTCTGGAATAGAAGACATCTGAAAAACAAGGGAAAAATGACAACCCATACCTCTCTGTAATACTAATAATGACCTAGTCTAAACAAACAAGCAGGTACTGGATCATTAGTTCATCTCAGTAATCCTACATATCACAGGTATTATAGTCTCTCTGGAATTCTGAATGTTAACGGTACATGCAAATGTTCCTTTCACTTCTGAGCTGTGTAGGATCAGATGTAAAGTCTACTTCTCTGTTCTGAATCAAACCCCAACTCCCAAAATTAAATACATTCTAACTCACTAACTTTTGTGAAATTACACCAGAACCCCATGCACCTGCCACTGTCTTCTCCCAAGAAAGACCATTCTGTTTCATGCCCTGTACTTAGGGTTTACCTGGATGTAGGCAACGTTTTAATGCTTTGGAGTTTTCTTGGGAAATGTTTCATCAACATATAACTTAAGGCCTTCAGAAAACTAGATAAGCAGACATGGCAAAAAGAGATTAAATTAACTGAAGCTGTAATTTTTTCTTTTCCTATGAGTGATATGATATTATCATGCTCTGTATGTAAGAAATATTGAGCCTATAAAGAAATAAGCAGGTAAAGAACATAAAATATATTACAATATTGTATGAAGTGACTATCGTAGCATTGATTCTGAGCTCATTTCATGGACATTACTTAAGGAAAGTGCAACCAGAGCCCATGGGACAAAGCAAGTGCACAAATATGAATGAGTAGAAAACAGTCTGGATTTTTAACACGATATGCAATTTCTAAATACACAAATGTATAAATCCACAATAAAAAGAATACATTATTGGAATCCTTCATATTTTTTTTTTAAATACACAAGTTATTTAGGTCAGGAAAAGTATCTGTCACTTAAACATTGCAACAGTTTTTCATGAGTGCCGATTTTTTGACAGGTGTCCCAGCCAGGCTGGTTACTGACCTCCTATCATCTTGATTATCACTTCGTTTTCGCACTTCGCTGTAAAACAAACAAACAAACAAACAAACAAATGAAAGAATGCACTCAATTAATATATTTCTATTCACGTTCACTGTTCTGTTTCTTCCAGTATTTATTTTCCAGAACTCACCATCACCTATTGTGTGGTTAAAACCGTGTTTTTTAGTGCACAGAATCAACATGTCTCCTAAGTTTCCAATTTGGGAGTCATATCAATATTTCTATACAAATCATAGTGACAGAAATATAATGATTTCTGATATGTAGTAACTGTACAATGTTCTGTTTTCCCTTTCCTTTTCTTTTGATAATTTTTCTTTAACTTGTTTGCTGCAGTATATTACCATAGAAACAGGATATGTTCATAGCTGAAAGTATGAAACTAAATAACTGCAATTTCAAGTATAAATTTATGCTAAGAGAAAAAATACACATTGTTGGATGTTTTATTATAAATGCAGACTTAAAAGCTGGGTATATATGAGTGACTGTTAATCTGTGTTCTTACTATAGGCCCCCTAGAATGTCAAAAGCCAGCTCTAAAATTTCTTGCTTTTATATATACATATTTTTTTTTTTTTTAAAAAGTCCTCCTCATATTAGTAGAATAAATTCATTAAGTTCCCCTCAGAACACTGTATTATTCAAGCTAACAGTAATGACATGTTACCTTAGAAATTTTTATTTCAAAATTAAATGCTTCTTTCAAAGAATACAAATTTCTAAGACCTGAGTAAAGAAATTGCAGCCAACCATTCCAGACCGAGATTCTGGATAATGTCTAGACCATTTGAAGATCAATGAACCTTGTGAAGAAAAAGATTTTTTTTTTTTTTTTTTTGAGATTCTGAAAAGAAAGGCTCCAACTGCCAAAACATTTTTTTATCCTTGAAACAGTTAAACAAAGTTATCGTGTTTAAACATTAATTTTCCAACTGTGATTAATGTTATTTAACTGTGCTATATATATTCTCTAATTTCATAATCCACTGCTGCATTCATGGCCAGGTTCTTGGAAATGAGTCATTTAACAAATCAGCAATTAACTTCACATTGACACTGACAGACAAATAAATGCCTACGTTCTTGCTGCATCTCTGACAAATGCATTTTCCTGGAAATACGGATGCTCTTGAAAGTCCCATGTGAAGACGCAATGACCCTCTCTAGAAAGCCAGTATTTTGTATTCAAGCCATGTTAATCAGTAATATTTTAACAGTGAGTAATCAAATACTGATTAAATGTCAAAAAGTTTGATTATTGCAGTAGGCTGCTGCAAAAATCACATGAATATGGTTTGTAATTCTGGCTTTGAGCTCCATGTATTAAACTGAAAAATCAGAGGCTGAGGATTCATTACATACTGCCAGCCCTTCAAAATTATATTGTAACCAAGAATGGTTTGGAAAGGTAGTAGGAGTGTAATGTTTGGCTCATACATTAGCACAGAAATACCAGGTTGCTAAATGGATATAATCAGAATTTCTATTTTTGAAATGATTTAGAGAAAGGGACATCAAAGAAAATATGTGAGATTAGAATGGTCAGTAATAAAACTGAATATATATTAATATATGTGAAAGAATTAAGAATTATACATAGAATTATAAACATTTGAAATTAATTTCAGAAAGAATTAAGTAAATCCATGTACCATTAAAAAATGTAATTCATTCACCAAAGAGGTTTTAAAATTGTGAGCTCCATAACTGAGCTCTAATTTAAATATTAATTATTGAGACAGCTTTGTAACATTTGCAAGCAAAAATGTTACTTGATTAAACTGAGAATAAATCCTGTCTTGCATTTATCTATAAAGATTTAACATGGTATTCAGTTTTAAGTTTTGTTTGTTGAATTTGATGTTGGTACAATTTTAAACATACATGTGTCTCTGTGTGTATATTCACATACAATATCCTTTTTTTAAAACACACTCAGATGTGTTTATTTCAAAACAAAAACATGGCTACTTACCGAGCAAGATGAAGAACTGCTTCTACAATATTAGATCCGTCTTTAGCACTTGTTTCACAGAATAGCGCATTGTAAGTCTGTGAATAAAAATAAAATGTTAAGCCAACTAATCTGAAATGGTTCCCATGTGAATAGGTATATTCAATTACAAATTGTTTCCTCAATAACACAAAGAAAGATGACACACATTCAAATGAACAGGATTTCTTCTGGTATTCTTCATTCTCTAATATATTCACTTTAGTACTGTGGAAAAAACAGTAATGGCTTTTTAATTGTATCTTTTTTATATTCTGTATATTCTGAATTAACAAACTGAATAAAAACCACATCACACGCTTAATGTCCAAACTCAGTCTTCTGGTTGACAAGAATGCAAAATAGGAAGAGAGTTGGTAGGACAGGTTACTGAATCCGGCTTGTTAGCTATTGATAAACCACAGCGCCTGGTATTCTAGGTTAACCAGAAATACCATTCCATAAGTAACAGACATAATATCTGTCCCAGTATAATCGATAACTGCGCGAGCACTCAGCAACTCAAGACTCTAAAGATTCTACATTTTCTTCTGCAAAATATGGGATATGTGCATCCCTTATCCCCCATATAAACACATGCAAAAAACTTGTCCACACTTCTATTTATAGCAGAGAGTTCCGTTTTTCCTTCTGCAGATGCGGCAGGAATACAAGATAATCTCTTGAAGATGAAAATATTCCACTCAAAAGCTGGACAGACACAAGCCAGGTGAAAAGCCTCATACACTCACTAGTGTGCTTCATATTTGCACTGGCAATTTCTCTTCGGCAGCAGAAAAACTCACTTTCCTAGTCCATCCACTTTTTCACCATAAAGACTGAGAAAACTATCCCAGCCAATAATGAAGTTCAGTTCAGTGGACACCGAGATGTGATTTAGCCCAACAAACACCATCAAAATAAAATAGTTTTAATGAAAAGTATCCATGAATCCTAATTATTAGATTTGAACAAATGACCAGAAAATGACTTTTGTTTACTAGTTTCTCATGTGGTTTTTGGATTAAAGTTCTTAAGACCATTTTATACGAAAGAGGTAGACTTGGACGTTACCATAGCCAGTTTTTCTCCATAGTTTATAGGCACACATTTTTGCCCTTGTTCTGTAACAGCTTGACGGAGATCTGCTTTGTTTCCCACCATCATAATTGGAATATTCTCATGAGTTGCATCCTGTAAAGAGGATTTTATTTCCTTACTGCTAGAACACTCAGAATACAAAAAAGTAACTAGCATCATCATGTCATACTGATTTCCTTCCCACAAAAAAAAGTCTTGCACACTATCACAAAAAATCACAAATTATGAAAGTCATACTGAGAACTTTTCATGGGCTAGTCAATATTTAAGCCAGCTTAAACATCAGCCTGCAAAGACGTACTTCCATTCCCATAAGCCGTTTTCCAACACGAATTCCATGTGTTAAGTTAATCTAATGGAAATGGTTACTGTATCCAAATGCTACATGAGAAAATTACTATGGGAAAAGTGACCAAATCCTATACCACGACTAAAAGAAATGGCTTTCAGAAGATGAATTAAAGATTTAGCTTATCACTTTCCCTCCTATTAAACACCTCTGGTATGAGAGAAAAACCCTTTTCATTAAATGCAAATTTGTATTCAAACAAACAAACAAGAAGTAATAACAGAAAGAAATACTGAAAATTTCACTTGAACTATAGCTAATTTACAGAATCTAAAATATTGGTTTAAAATGCAAAGACTCCAAGGAATACTCAAGCCATACACAAGAGGGTACCTGAAATGGGCTCTCATGTTCACTTCAAAAGGAAGTGAATGGGAAGAGTGTGATTTCATGATACCCTTTTATACAAAAAGATGTATCAGTTTTAACACTAACTGAATACATTGGGACACATTTAGGACTTCCATGTAGCTTTTACTTCTATGAGAGAGTGCGGTCTGGCTAATATCAATATACAGATATTCAAATCTTATAAATAATAAGGCTAACAATACAGTGAAACATAGTTTATAAGTTGTATATACTTAGGGGTCTTACTTCGATCATATCCACCCATTCTCGCACATTAAGAAAGCTTTTTTCACACGTTACGTCATATAACAGTAAGACACCATCTGCTCTTCTGAAGTATGATTTAGCAATACTTCGGAATCTTTCAGAAAAAAAAAGATTTGCATTATCATTAAGGCCACATTATCAAAAAATAATTCAATTTAACATCATTAAGAGCACAGCACTACTTTATTGCACTACTGAGTAAGATTCTCTCCACATGACAAGATTAGTTTTCTCATAGCTTCTTTCACAAGTAGTTCTTGAAAACTGCTGATGCAGGTCTACAAATGCTCCATAAGGATCCACACACAAGATTCTGTCCTAAACAGCAATCAGCATCTTTTGTATCAAAACAATCTACAGTGTATCTATTACAAATAATCTGCTTTGCACTGAACTTTTGATTAGGTGGCAAGGCTTTTTCACTTACCTGTAACTTCATCAACTGAGTAGGTTACTCTGCTACATTTGAAAAAACATGAAACCAATAAACTTATTTCAGGAACGAATTCATCAGTTACAGTCATCTTTGCCATTAACATAAGACAATCTACTTAACAACCAAGTACAGCAACTAGGTATTTACATTATATATTAGAATATTCTTCACAAATTTATTATGTGGGAGGAGAATGATTGGGCCTCTGACTACCTACTTCACATAATCACTCATGCAGGCAAAAGTAAACACATACAGCCCAATACAAATCTTGGTCAATCAACAGATTAAACTGACTTCCAAGGTGTTAGATTAACCTCTTAATAAGCCCCATAAACTGTCAGTAAAGAAGTAATAGCTCTCAAGTAAGGATGTCATAGGATTTTGAGGAAACTCTACACTATAATTTGAAGAACCCTGGCTATACATTCATCAATCTGTACAATTTTGCCATTAAGTCTTTTTAAAGTCTTTGGGAAGAAGTTTTCATGCACTAAATACAATGCAAAGCACGATCAGGACTTTCAAGGACAGAAGAGGAGAGGACAGTGAAGGGAAGGGAATCTCCAAGATAAAGCCTGGTCAGAAATACAGGTCTGCAAGGACAAAGAAAGCTAAAGACTAAAAATGGAAGAAACAATGCACGTCTATTCCATTTTTTTGTATTGCAAGAGAGGAACATACAAATCTAATTAATTAATGCTGTGATGAACCTCAACTATTTCTCTCTGCAGAGAGAAAAGATTACCTCAGGCATCACCAAAGCTAACAAATAGACTTTCCACCTGTCTTGGGGTCTCAGCAGAGCAAAATCGCATCTGTTTATAGACATTTACATTATGGCCATACTGACTTACTATAGGGCCATATAGTATTTAGTGGAATTTTTTTCACCTAGATGAAAAAAGGCAAACGTCTTTTAGAAACAAAACAATTGAAATTACATTAAGTGCAGAGAATCACTAACCTCTCCTGCCCAGCTGTGTCCCACAGTTGTAGCACTGTAGGTTCTCCATCAACAATTAGTCTTTTCATTTGAAAATCCACACCTGAAAAGAATAATGTGTATAGTCTAATGAGAAACATCAATAACCTTAAAAAACCCACAGAAAATGAAAAGTTATGTGTCATATAAAACAGTTACTTCAAAATTCATCTTTTAATAGATTATGAGATTTCAGTCGTTGACATAGCCTTGAACCGCGATAATCCCCTGAATGTTATGTAATTCGTCTTTAGAAAAATATCTAAAGAAATATTTTACCCACACATTTTCCAGCATTGATACAAATTTGGCATTATGACCAGCAAACAAGATCTCTCTCTGCTTTTTTTTTGGTAAACAGTTTTATGGAAGAAGAGAAAATGTTTTATAAAACGGACTTTATTTCAAATGCCAAGGAGGAAAAAGATAAATTAGAACAGAAATCCTGACTCAGAGGCAATAAAACAAATATATAACTATGATTTGATTGGAAGGCAAAAATTCAGTCCTTAGAATCAGCAAGACAAATTTGTTAGCTGACAGCAGTAGTAATATACACAACAAGCCAGTCAGAAATCCCTCCAGCTGCATTTAGACCAAAGCTGCAATAACACTTTGAAGAAACGGAGACAAAAAAGTAGTATGAAAGACATCAAAGGGTAGTAGGAAATGCTAAGGGAAGAGGAAAGAGCTGAGAAGACAAGAAAGCAATGAAAAATATGAAAAGGACCATACACACATTCTAAGTTCATTACACTGAAACTTGCTTTTCTGGTGCTTTGTGTCGTTCAGGAACAGGCTTTGTGCTTTGCAAAGAGAAACTAAATTAGAGCCGTACCCTATTATCCACTCCAAACAGCAGTTAGGCACTTCTAAGCTTTAGTACTCAATTAGATCTCACAGCCTAAGAAACTGCGTGTGTATATTCAGGAAACCCTGGCAAGCAATCACAGAGGGTAATGTTTTCACCCACTTCTGCAGAACAGCAATGAAATTCACTTTAGTATTTTAAGAACAACAATAACTATACCCAGGGTTGCACTGGTATTGCCTCGAAATTCATTCTTGCAAAGTCTCGTAAGGAAACTGGATTTTCCCACTGCCGCATCTCCAGCAAGAACAATCTTGTAAGCCTTCTCTGAACTGGGGTATTTCGGAGTACATTCGGTTGCATCTGACTGAAAATAAAAAGAACCCCTCTATTTCAATAGGTATAAAAAATATTCTTTATATCAAACACTTTTTTTTTCCTAAAGAACTGGTTACCTGAGGGGTGAGAGCGGATATGTACTTCCTTGCTGAAGCAACTGAGCTGCTTCGACTTACTGGTCGTGAGGGCTTCCAGTCTAATACTGTACTGCTGTTATCAGGACTGTATGCTTCTTCATCCCTGATCTCTGGAACCTGAAAGTACACACTAGTGTTAGCTCCAGTGAGAATAGTATGCTCTTTCGGAAAGGCACAGCTAAGACCGATTAAAACATTTGTTTTAACAGTTTGGATTAAACAGAGATAAGTGACCAAAGAGAGCTGTACAATTCTAGTCAAAGTACTGTGATTATTCTGTTCTTACTCACATTTGCTGTTTACTTATAGCCTACATTTGGTCCTTAAATGTGTTTGCTGTTTGGCATAGTTGCTTTCAGTACAGTTTGCAGATAAAGCAAATGAATTTCCATATGGAAAATTTCAGCTTCAAAAATCATTACAATAAATAAATACTTTATTTCAAAGCTTATTTTACAAAAATTAAGAATTTGCCTACAAGACATTATTCTCTATGCTATTACTACTCAAGCTAAATTAAATACAGCGCAGCTGTAATCAGCAGTATTCACAGCATTTTCAACTGCAGAGACTAAATGTCTCTACTAAATGCACAGTAAAGGATCTGCTCTAAAAAAACCCTGTGTTCTGCTGTGCTTGATACTAGTCTTGCCACATAGTCATCAGTAAAGCTCCCCATTTCACTAACAAAAAAATGGACACAATAACACCTTATTACATCTCTAAATTCTCTTGAGTTACTGTGTAAGTCAATGTATGCACTAACAGTATTCTTTTTCTCATATATGTGAATTTTTCATTCACTGCCACACCATAGTAAGAGAAAGTGAACAGAAACCTATTTTACTTCTATAGTATCTGCTTTTTAATCATTAGAAAATGGACTCCTGTCTGCATGCTGTTTAACAGCCTTCAAAAGCCACATGTACTTGAACAATGAAGTTATTACCTCGAAAATCTTTCAAAAATGTCAAAACAATATCTTAGTTTAAAGAGGAGTAACCATTTATGCACCGTCTAAAACACTGTCACTAATCTTCTTTAAATGTATATAACCCAAACACTTTGTTTTAATCGGCTTACAGGCAAAGATCCATTTTATTTTAAAAATAGGAAACTAATTGTCTCTAACTGAAGGTCTTTCTCAGAGGAGTAAGTCTGGCACTTACATCTGTATCAGAAGCATCACCACCGAAGCTGTCTTGCATACACTGTGACCTTTGAAAAATCCTTTGATGCCTGTATTCCACTTCTGAATCATACTCATTTGAATCTCTCAGGGTAGACAAACCACTGTCAAAACAGCTCTCAGGCAAGCTGTCAACTTCACAGTTTATCCTTTGCATAGGATCACAAAGGGCTAAAGAATCATAATCTTCATCCACACAAGAAGAATGAGATGATCTAATAAGAAAATATTGGAGGGGGGAAAAAAAGAATTATTCCACAATTGTTTCTCCCAACAAAATCTGAGACATTCTGGAATAGTCAATACTTAGAAATGCTAACTAAGGGGTTTAAGACATATGCCAATGCCTATTTTGCCCTTCTAAATAATTTATTTTTCAATTATATCTCTTAGGATGCTCAGATTAAATTATATAATCTAGGTTATTGATGATGACTTCCTAAGTCTCAGCAAGAATGTCTATTTATTCACATACAGAAAAAATAATAATTTAAAAAAGATTCAGAAAATTCCATACCATGAAGATAATGAAGGCAGAAAACGATAGCTGATGGCTTAGCTACTTTTGGCCTATTCTAAGACACATAAAATGACCTTGAAATGCTGTATCTAATTCAAATTAATACATTTGCTCACACAGGCACACAGGCCAATAAATAACAGCTATAAATACAGAAAAGGGGGTAATCAAGTTCGGGAGACCAGTAACGGTGGAAGAAGTCACTGAAACATGTTTTCTTACAGTTTGGTAGGCTACAGAAAACTTAGAAGTTTTACACAAAAGTCCTTTCTTTCCCCTCACCCTTCCTTCAAAGGCCTTTTGGTTGTTTTTTTTTTTTTCATTCTGGATGCTGTAATACATAGAAATACTTAAATGGATGCAGCAATGACACTATGGCTTACAGAAAAAGCAATTTAGGGTTTTTTTATGTAAATGAAACTGCAGAAAAGAAAGATTAATAGAGTGAACCTCAAAAGAATCCATCTTTCAAAAAAAAGTTTACTACGGGTACAATCATCATCCTGCTCCTGCAGCAAGACAGGGACAGGCACAAATTAAAGTGAGGTAAAACAGGTCTCCAAGTCACAGTGGGTAAGAGAGAACCAGTTTGGCTCTGTCCTGCTGGGAATGGATGTGAAGCACTGAACTGCTAGAACAGACAAGGTCAGCATCAATCCTTGTAAAGATAGTTTGCTGCCAGAGGTGCTGGGAGCTACCAGTGCAATGACACACCACAGAAGAGTACACTGGGGAGAACCACCAAATTATGAAGCTGTTACTGAGTCGAATATAATTCCTCCCTGCAAGTGGCCCAATAGGGGTGACAGAGGCAACATTGTCCAGTGCAACAACATCCAGAACCATCTAATTTATATCCTTTCAGGCTAATGAATAATCACATGAATGAACGTGATCTTTGCTGTGAAATATCACAGCATCCATGCTATTTGTATTCATGCACCTACTAGCCTATACCAATCACTGAAATACAGAGGAAGGGTGCAGGCTACAACAAAGTTAAGCTTGTCAGGCATGCCCTGAAATAAAGGTCTTTAGCAGTCAATTTTCACCCTCACTGAAGCATGAATTCAATGCTGGGAATTTCATATGGGCTTAAAACAAGTTAGACCAAGATGTATGATACAGCTAAAAAAAAAAAAGTATACCTTCCAATGTAAATTGCTTAAAACATGTTAGAATGCAAATCAGCGTCTCTTAATGCTGACCTGATGTCAGGAGACAGACAAAGTACTGAAAATGAACAGGCTTTGGGACATTCATATCTCTTTCTGTCTTTCAATACTACGAAGTCACACCTGTTAAGAGCACGTTTTATTCCTACCACATGAACTTTCTTCTAAAGTAGCTTGCATTTCTCCCTTTTGTGGGAATGCAAGGATTGCACCACATGGCAGGTACTAATAAATATTCACAGAGAAGGACATCACTAAGCCTCCACAGAGGTTTTAGTTATCCCTTCAGAAAATTACTCAATGCAATATGCAACTTAGTAGTGGATGCCTCTCAAAATTTGCAGCAGGTCCAACAGAGGGTGGTTGTTTTATCCACGTTCAACAGAAGGAACCCGTTTGTCAGAAGCAAAACTTTAGAGCCAACAAACACATCTTACATGGAGACAGCAGAATAAGAGTACACTACTGAATGAATGGGGCTATTATTAGTGTGAAGCAGAAGCCAACTTAATCCCTACCAAAGATATTCAACTCTCTGGCAAAATGTAAAACACAGACTACTAAGAACTCTAACAGAGATCTCTCTACAGTTTGAAGTACCACTGAAAGAAAAATAAGGCACAACAATTTATCAAGTAAGGACACACATTTTTGCTGGCATTTCCAGCTGTTTAAAAAAAAAAAAAAAGGTGTGAAAACATAGCATGATCTACAGCACTTGAGGTTGGATCCAATGCCCAGTGACTTCATAATGCCCAGTGACTTCAGTGAGAGTCTATACAATGATCTGAGGAAGCTCTGAACAATGACCTGCAACCCCTAAGTACAAAACCAAAGTAGCTCTGACCATCTGAAATTTGCATTTAGATAACTTACTGCTCTCTGTGGCTCTTACCCCATCAATATCCAAGTGCATTCACTACTCTTGCATGTCAGTGTGAGATGAGGATGTTTATTCTCTTGAAGAATTAGGCCCACATACCTTTGTAATAATTATTACATGGGAAAACCAGACATACAGCCTGAAAATATGACTAAAAACATTTTATTTCTTAAGCACTGAGTAAGCTAGCTAACAAAGGTCCTCAGCAGATTTTTATCATTTCTTGGAGACAAGGAGAGGAGATTGACAATCAAACTAGAATCAAAACAGTCCAAGACCAGGCTGTCTGGACTCTCTGTAAGTTCATGATTTGCACTGAAAAGAATTCTCCTGAGCCTTCTGAAGTCATTGAAAAGATTCCTATTGACTTCAGTACAATTTGGATCATAGGCTATGGTCACACATTCCTTCTTTGAAATCAGACAGAACTATTGTCTCTGTTATTTGACAGTATTTGCTCTTCTAAGACAAGCGTGATGCCCTAGTCTTTTCAAACTTAATAAAAGCAAACCTGGCTTACCTGTCATACCGTGGGTTTAGAGGAGACTGTCCACCATTAAATTTAGGACTGCTTCTAGAAATGGTACTTCCTGGTGAGGTGTTTGCTAACCGCTGTGACAGACACATAACAAATGCCTAAGTTTGATGAACACAGTGTAAGCATCTAGATTTGTCATGAAAATGTGCATCATCAAAATTACTACTGCATATTTTCATATATATTCAACTACTTATTTTTGATTAAACCTTATGCTTTATATAGGACTGGATGTCAAAAGGCCCATTACATACAGCATTCAGGCTCCAGTGTTGCCTTAATACTGAACCTCCTAGCCACACTCGGCCACAAAAGACAACAGAAATTCCAAAAGGATGATTTCATCGACTACACCTGAAGACTTTGAAATGCTAAACTTAGAAAAGTAGTATTTAGAAAAATGGCATGTTGACTACTAAAGTGAAAAGGGAAATGTCGCTGGCTGAGCTAGTTTCAGTAGAGATACCTCCTGGTTCTTGAGTGAGATAGTGGACAGGAGAGATCTCAACTGATAGCGCATGACAGAGTATTCCGTATGTTCTGCTGTCCCTCTACACTCTTTTTCACTGGGAAGTTTCCTCTGTCTTCTCTGTAATCTACCACCCTTATGTTTCAGGGCATGGCAGAAGGAAATGGTATCTCTTGTTGCATCTGCAGTGAATCTCTGGTAGCCTGTATCAGCAAAAAGCACTCACATTCATTGGTATGGTATGCTGGAAAAGGGCAATGACCCCTATTTTCCTCCTTCTTGGCCAGTATTGTCTTTGTGGGCCCATTATTCTGGCCCCATCCTTCTAAAACAGTCAGCTGCTTTCCTGATGATGTAAGGGCTTGCCTGATCATTAGTTTTCAAATTTAACAGGTTTCCCAATATTGCAAAATGGCAGTGTAGGGTAGATTTTTTGTAGCTTTCAAGCCTTCCTTTCTCTGTTTTGGAGGATGCCGGGCTACATCTATTACAACAGATCCCCATACAGTTCTGATAGCCCAAAAGGGTTCACTGAGGTCCCTATTATGAGCAGTCCCTGCTATTTATTTTCCCAGTGATGTGCCTGGACAAAAGTTCAAATTAGGTTAAGACCTTGGTACTAAAAGAAAGCAGTTTCCTGAAAAACTGTGTTTGCAGTGGTAGGGCACTCCCATATACACAATACAAACATATTCCCTTTAGTGCAAGAGAAACTGCTGAATTATGTAGCTCACCAGATACATTTGGCCACAGCACATTTAAAAAATCACTAGTTTCCAAAGCACCACAGAAAGTAGTTGTGCTCTAACAAAACTTCATTATTCACAAAACATAAGTAAAATCTAACAAAATTCAACTATGCAAGTGTATCCCCAGAGTGAGTATGCTGAATATAACTCAATTTTCTGAGTATCCACTGAAGTGCAAACAAATTTGCATTTGGTGTGTTAATTCTTAAACCTTCTAGTGCAACACAACAAAATTATAAATACATACCAATGATCTGTTGTACTTGCTGAAGCTGTTTTCAAGTGCACTTCTTAAACCATCATTGCTGTCATGTAGCTTCCTATTAGCTGATCTAAAAAGGAAACATAGTTTAATTTGCAGGAGTAAAGAAAACATTAAAAATTATGTAATGTCACAAAGAAAAACTGAAAAAATACATTATCAAAAAAACCCTTTTGTTTTTCCTTAGATAAACACTAAAGATAAACACTTTAGATAAGCACTAAAGAGTAATGTGGAACTAGAAATGCGTTGTCATATACTCAAACAAATGACTGTATGTGAAAAAAGCACTGTGAAGTTTAGCCTCCAGTAGCAGCCTAGGGAAACCCTGTTTCACCTCTGGTCTGTGGTAAGCTGAGGAGAAAAAAGACACTGTAGGAATGACCACAAAAAAACAGCTCAGGGTAGTAAACTGGTACAGCCATTTCTGAAATACAAAGCGACTACCCTTTAAATATTGCTGAGATGACTCTAAGGACAGATGTGATTCAGCTCCTTGAAAGAAAGGATACATTTACGAAAAATAAATTAAGTAAAGATATAAAAAAAGTATTCATTGTGACCCTCCTTGAAAGGAAAAATCTGTGTGCGCCTTGTATAATACCATACAGTACTTTCCAGAAAATTATAAGACAAGGAGTTACTGGAGAAGCAAAGCCAATAAAAAAAGAAGCCAAGTAATAATTTTTGTAATAGCATGGATAGACTCAGATCTCCTTCAGCTTATCATAAATGAAAGTCAGTGAGGCTAAGAAAAAAAAGAAAAAACAATGAAGAGTTAGCAGCTCAGTAACACAGCAGAGTTAGTAGCACAGTACCTTCTATGAGAGCTGAGCACAGTACCTTCTATGAGAATTGAGGCCTTTTCAGTATTTCTGCTTGGTATTTTTTCCCAAATCTCATCCCAGTCTTTTGCATATAAAAACATTTACCCCCGGCTATGTTGGGACAAAGTTTGTTACCAAAACCCTGAATTACTAAGAACTTACTGAAGTATTTCAATTTGCCTTTCCAGATTATCTCTGTCTTCAGTATACTCCCGGATCATTTCTAGGTCTCTGCAAAAAAGCCCCAAGAAGTAATATGTTACAGGATATCTTTTTTATTTTTATAATACTGCTTTTGGCAGAGAACAAAACTCAACAATCAACATTTTTAAGAGGTGACAAATATATAGTGGGGAAAAGATACCATTTCAAAATATTTCTGAATACAGTTTTTCTATGTTTAAATTTCTGCTGAAGTATGTTAAAAACAGTTTTATGCAAAGCAAAATCACTTTGCAACTTCATTGATCTCTGCCATTATATCTCAACAAAGACCATGAATGAAAAACAAAAGCAACCTGACAAGAGAAGTGAACAGTAGTCATGGCATACTTTGCATGGTGTCAAATATGTACCTGCAATTCATGGCAAATTTAGAAAATAACAGTTACCAACTGCATACATAATAACGATATCAGACAACAGATTTTTTCCCCTGGTGAAAATATTATCATGTAGAAGTACTTTACCTCTCAGTGTTCAAAGTCTGATCTGCATACTCGCTTTTCAAGCTATCTAATTCACTCTGTAGAAAAGCTATATTTGTCTGCGCTTCTAAAAGATCTTTCTTAAGTTTCTGATTTTCCTTAAAAAAAGGAAGACATTAGATGTTAGCTGTCACAGTCATCTGCATAAAATGTTGACATATTATAATGGTAAAATAAAAACCATAAAAATTAAATAAAAATGAAGCACTAGAAAATCTGAGCACAGAGGGGGAAAGAAAATGAAAGAACAGAGAATCTAAATCAACAGAGAATTCAGTAAATTCGCATGCAAGAACCACTGAATTTTTATTTTTCTATTTCAGTTACTCAAAAAGGGGACTATATCATCTCAAGACATTTCCAAATGCTATGCCTAGAATGTACAGAACGGGGTTTTTTTCCAAGTTAGAGATTCACATACACGTAACAACTTTAGAAGTTTATTTTGTAGCTTGCCAGTACTAAACGTAAAAAAAACCTGTACTGCAGAGGCTAAAACTAAGGCTAAATTAATATGTTAATGATAATAATCTCTTACCAGCAACATATCATGTATTCTTTTTTTCAATTCAACCACATCTTCCCTGTGATTTACATTTTTGGATTGCTCCTCCAGCTACAAGGACAAAAAAAATGCACAATTAATATATGTTATTGATTATTCTGATTCAAAGTACATAAAAAGTAGTGGAAATCACATTAAATAACCCCTAAAACTTTTTACAGCTATTGAAGTTTTTAAAACCCAGAGTTTTCCCAGCTGTGTGAGTAGGGAGTATTACTCCAAAAATCACTGGCTTTCTATACATTTTTTTAAATCAATACTTAAAAAATGTTTAATGCGCATTTTGTACTCTGTAGGTGTTGACTATGCATAACTAGTGACACAGAAGACAGCTACTGAGAAGATATTAACAGGTGTATCCCAAATAAAATTAAAAAAAAATTATATACTACCTCATCTGTGTAGTATTTGCAAAAGCTCTCATGTTTCTTGTGAGAAATTTCCATTTCTATCACTGCTCTTTTAAGTGCAATTCAATAAGAAGAGACAAAAATATATATCCTCATTGGTTGCTGTAATTCCAGTAAAATTTATAACAAAAACTACTGTCAAAATTAAACCCAAATTACAAAATAACCCAAACCAATATTCATATCTGAGATTTCAGTTAACCTTACGCTTAAGTATCAAAGGAAAAGATCAAGTTGAAGTTAGGTTCAAACTAGTAATAACTAGTTCCACTAGTAATTTCAGTTTAAAATTACAACTTAAACCCATCTCTACCATTAACATTTGATAGAAATGCACTAGCTGCTAAAAGGCACTATATTACTACAAATTTCTGTACTTCCCTTGCCAATTTCATCTAAATCTATACATTACAAATACTTAGAGGCAATATATTAGACTATTTCTAATGTATCAAATACAAGACTAGGTAACTGCAGTGTTAACAATTTGATGGACCTAGAAAATTATTCAGCAACAGAATTTGGCTAGCAGATGGTCTCTTTCCTAAGTATTTCAGTAAATCAGACAGAATGAATACAACAGCACAGAATGACAACACAACCTAAAAAATTATTTGTAGTTGCCATTTACTAATACTCATTAAATTTAAAAGCTACAATTATGATTATCCATCTTGGGGAAGACACTTCATAAGGTCAGCATCTCTTAAAACACTTTCAAAACTCTCTCACCATGACTTCAACTCACTTACCTTTTTAAGTTTTTTTATTGTCACCTGAAGATCCCCAACTTCAGTATCATACTGGCGCTTCAGCTCATTTAGTGCTTCTTCAGCTTTTCGCTTCTCCTACAATATTTTTAATCTCATTAAAAGTTGAGACAGGTGTCCAATGTTTATTAAAAAATGCATTCATCAGTTTGGAAACCACACACTTTCCCCTTAGATTACTGTGTGTAATTTTGTCTTTCCATTATGTCAACCTGCACCTTCCTTAATGTCCACAGATTTTGATTCTGTAATTGCAGTCCACATACAAAATATTCACAGAAATAAAATGTAAGGTGGAAGCAAAGATATGGGTCAATTCAGTGTCTGTTATGCATGTCAGTCTCCTTTGCTTAACATTCTTGATGCCTTAAAAAAAAAACAAACCCTGAAAGGTAAGTGTTCAAATGTTATTTGTAGGAAGATTTAGGTGTATATTGCATATACAGATACATACATACACACCCGCACACAGATCAGGGCATTACATCCCTTTTTTTCAAACCAGACTTCTATGGCTCAGCATACAATGTGCTAGTAATAGCATTACTGTGCCACCATCACTCACTTATTTCTGGTTTTCCTTTTTTTTTTCGCTTGCAAGTGTTGGAATGTTACAGGCCCATGTTCAGTAAAAGGTATGCTGATAACAGCATCTTTAGTTTCATATGGCACTTGATCTGAATATCTAATCAGGTACACTACTCTGATTTTTATTTTAATCAAAACAGAGAGATTTTGAAAGGAAGTTACACCAAGCACAATGAGAAGAATGGTTTGTTCCACATGCTGTCAATGACTACGTGTTTAACTCACTCCAGTCACTCCCCAGGGACTTCAGTGCACAGTTTCACAACACAAGAAACCAGAATGCAGCAGTGATACATGGTGCCAATGAGACAGGTTGAGTTGTCACACGGAAAAGACAGATGTGGGCTTTACTCAGAATTCAGTGCTTTCCTGTAGGTGATGCTGACATCCGTGTGTTAAAACGATAATCAAAGTAATCAACTTAAGCTGGATTCTCTTACTGTTGGCACCTATATAGGACTCCTAAGTATTGTTTGGTAACTATTTTCTTCCCTTGAAGAAACAAAATATAGGATAGGCTCAACCTGCAGATACTATCACGCAGAGGCAGGTGTCACAGTGGTATGAGTGAGATCACTCTGACAAACAATAGCCTTGAACACAGGCATTAAGATTAATGGCTTAGTACAATCCCACAAAGTAAATACCTTACATTTACTCTCAGGGCGTTTTAGTAGGTGGAGTATGTGGAGCTATGAGCTGAAGGGAACATTTAGGAGTGAAAATGAAAAGAGCCTTGTGAGAAACAAGTTACAGCCCATCTTTCACATCTATAGCTAGGTGTGAACAGAGAAATCGCGATCCTTGCAACTTGGTAACAGTTTGAGGACTTTTTAGAATGAGAAACACAAACTAGATGTGGATAATACATAGCAGATGTGTTTTTACATAATCCTAGTACATAACATATTATCAGAGTGAGTGAATACACATATCCCAGTCATCTTTCTGTAGTAGTGAAAAAGAGTTTTCAGGGCTTATTTCAGTGATTTACCACTTTTTGCAGAACAGAAACTTTCCAGAGCAAATGTATTTGTTTTCTAAACATAAATACTTAGTCTCTCTGGAAATGGAAAGTTTGTCTCTATTGAGAGTTGCATTATGATTAGTTAAACATATTATGATACGCTTTTTTTGCTGGGGTGGTATCTTTAACATTTTTATGTAATTATATTTTGTTTCTAGGAAAACAACCGACTTTTATGGTTTGGCAGGAGTGTTTCCTCTTGTCTAGAAAAAGATACTGTTTGAAGCAAATCTATCAGAATACCATTTACCTTCACAGATCAACTACTGTGAACTATTCAGAATCCGTCAGTTGGCAGACTGTACTTTGTTGCTTCTGATTTTACAAATGCTTTGGTGAAGGAACCCATACCAAATATATAGATATTCAGTATATTGTGTCCTACAAAGCAATAATTATGCCCACAGTGTATGTTTTAATTAATGCATTTCTTATGTCCACATTAGAACACTTTCACAAACTGTTATTATTATGCCCATTTTAAAGTTGTGTTTATCTGATGTGAATTTAGGAACCGTTCAACGTGAAGCAGACGACACATGTAGGGTAGTTTTACTGTACTGCTTTCTGCTTAGAATTACACAGCCACATGTGGCTCTAATATATCTTTCAATGGGTAAGAGGAAGAGGATTCTTGCATTTATCCATCAAGACTGCAAGCCAGTTAAAACAACAGCTAAAACTTGAGCACGTTGAAACAGAATTTCCCATCAACTTTGGGAGGTCCAGGCTCTCACACACTGTTATCACAACTACCCTCTCTTATGTCTATAGCTCTCTAAAATATAGTTGCAGGGTGAGAATGGGGAAAAGAAAGATCACCACTCCAGGCAGATGTACAAATTAGGAACAAATGATCTAAGCATTAATTCCTACATAAATTAGATTCCATTCTTTTATAGTGAAAGGTCATTTTCTCCAATCTGTTTCCAATACTGGTCTCCGAAACAAATTCCTCTAAGCCAGCACGTTCTCACAAGAGAAAGACTTTTTTTTTATTGGTTTATTACATTTAGAGCATCCATTCGTCTTTGGGAAAGCATTAAAAGAATACATTTTTGATTTCACAGATAGCTTCTTTTCATCCAGGCCCTGCCTTTGGTGACTTTGAGTCAGCCCATCAAGATCAGAAACACACCTGGCCATCAATCCTGCTTAAGACTACTGAGTTTGGTAATTATAAAATTCTGTAAATATGAAATACTTACTTCCTTTTTAACCTTATGCTCTGCAGCCTGTATCCGTTGTTCCATCTCTTCCTCCAGCTCACTGAGCTGAACTGCTGCTTTATCCTGAGCTCTAAAATTTAAAAGTAAATACTCTCTTAGGAATTGTTCTCTGGCTTGACAGAAATGTTGTGTGAAACACATCTGCCTACCTCAGCTGAAACAAATTTGACAGACAGACATGGAAACAGTTTAACATTGCCCAGACCTTGAAACTAGTATGGTTGGGAACCAAAAACACAGATTAATTTGAAGATACAGGCAAACTAGATTTTAAATAATAGCTGACAGCTGATGATTAGTATGAAATACATCACATCTGCATTTTAAAAATTAAGTTACAGAGATAAAAGGCCCCCCTGGTTATCCTGTGAAGAGACTTCAAAAGGATAACTACAGAGACTTGCATCATCCACACATACAAGATGTCTGTCCTGAGCTAATCTGTTTGGTTTTGGCAGTAACGATGTGAGATTGCAAATGCCAAGTAGTTACAATAGGTAAATACATCCCTTGAAGCTGAAGAAGCAAAAATATCATTTTTAAAATGGAAGTATAATGGGCATGTAAAATACAATTCAAAGTTACAGGCAAGGAAGAGGAGTCAAAATGTTTTAAGAAATTAAACATAAGAATAGAGCCTGCAAAAATTTGGTCCAGGACTTATCCTAAATATGAACAGAGAATCATTTGCAAGCTGCTATATGCGCTTATGCACATGTGCGTGCATATATAATCATAGAATCATAGAATCGTTTAGGTTGGA